GGTCAGGTTGCCCGGCAGGACTAGCTCTATATCCACCCCCTGGTATTGCCTCAGCGGCGACAGTCTGGAAGAAATCATAATAAATTTTAAAAAATGATCTAAAGTCTTAAGTAAACATTAGATTTAATTATTCAATACAAGTCGTTCTTATAAAATATTCTATTTTATCATCATTATCATAAAACAATCTGTTTCCGTTTCAAAATAATAACCGTCCACTTCATTATTAACGCCAATACAGGATTGAAATAACTATTATTGCGATATATCTCAAGTCTGTTCTTCCGAAAAATTAGAAATGTTAATTCGCAAAGCTGCGCTAAATCATATATTATCACCGTATTCCTATATCACTATATTAAATATCTTTCCTCCCGTAAAAGTGAAACGCGCGAGCTCGATTCGCATATTAGAAATGTTTCACAAGATTCACAGAACATTCCTGCGAAGGTTCAACAGTACCTTTTCCTCTCATCGGGGACTTTGGTGCCGAACGAGTTGGGCTCCGAGCCGTTCCCGACCCAGAAATAAGCTTCCGGACCTTTCCCGTCGTAATGCAAATTCGGAATGTAGAAAGTTTTGCTATCTAGGATGGTGATGTTCCCACTGCGAACTCCATGGGCCAACTGCGTGAACTTCGACAGCATTTTGGTTTCTGGTGCCTTCAAACCAGCCGGGAACACCACGTAGCCGAAATTGAGCTGAAAATAAGGACACGCTTGATCCCCCGGAAAAGCCTTCAAAGTTTTTGCTCCCCGACTCTTTCGACCCGGTTCCGGCCGTGGAATCTTTACGAAGTCGCGGGGTTCAGTTTTCAACGGTCCCGCGACTCCAAAAAGCGATGTAGAGAAGGCATTATCCCATGGACCGTGTACACTGGTTAAGCTCGGCATTAATAAAATGGCGAATCTACGCGTAATCCCCTGGGAGAAATGCTTTTAACTTTTTCCCAGCGAAGCCCGCTTCAACGGAATCGCAGACCGTGATCGTTGAAGAATCTCTGTTGGATTAAACTGTCGCGTCTTTCTACTTGTTCCTATTACAATCCTCCTACGCAGTTTTGCGCGTTTCATGGAATGAAATCCAGTGTTTCTCATTTCCGCTCGCGCCTGAATTTTAAGGATTACTATCTCGACGTCTGGCGAAGGATGAATTCACGATTGTACATAGTTAACATCGAAAGTTCGAGTATTAAATACGTTCATCTTAATGTAGCTCTCGAAATATATTCGTGAACACTTTATATTCTGAATGCCTCTTTTATATTCTATCGCTATCTTTATTTCAGTCATCTATATTAAGACTTAAGAATGTTTAACAAAATTTTAAGCTTAAACAATTTAAGACTGTTTCTTCAGTTTACACAGCTTAAGAACGTTCGAAAGATTTAAGAACGGTTAAATTATCTATAGACCAATTAAATTAAGCAATATAAAGGATTCAAGTTTCACTTAATCCTTTGCACTCGAGAGGTGACTCTCATTCATCACTTGATTTCGTACAGTACAACTGTAAAACATGATATTTAATATTATACTTCGTACAACAATATAAATATAAGTTCCTCAACGTACGTGTAATTTCTCTTCGAGTTAGTTTCACAAAATACCGTCCTTATCTTATCAGAAAATGTGAAAATATTTCTAGTGAAAAACGTCCGAGTGCAAAGGGTTAATTCCCAAGGAGAAGTACTTCGGTGAAAATGACACTTTCTTCGACAACGAAATCGAGAATCACGCGGAACTCCGGGGTCAGAGGCGCGGGGTCATTGACAGGTGAAACTTTTCCATCAGGAGTCAAAGGAGACCGCGGTTTCCGGTCTTTCGAGTAGGAACCGTCTCATCAGCCTATCTTTCAGGGACCGCGTATTTACACCCCAGCCGTCGAAAAAGTCGATCTATCATTCCTTACCCCATCCCTGTTGAAGCTGACGCGCCGATGGGGGCTGGTTTGAGGTCGTTTATATTCTAAGTTCCGTCAAACGTCTGAATAAGCGCGCGACGAGACGTCGAGGGTCGCGGGGGGAGGGGAGAAGGGAAAACAAGAGGGAGAGAAAAAGTAGAAAAAGATAGACCGGCGAGAAGGACGAAGCACGGTGAAAGTAAAAAGAGAAAGATCTCGAGCGGGACCTCGTAAAATCCGAGAAACGGATTCCACCCTCTATACAGGGTGATCTACTCTCTTACCCCCGGGGGAGCGTTTTACGGGAGAAAATTCAACGTTCTCGACGATTTCTCAACTCATTCCGAAACCCTCGGACAAATCTATTCGCTTACGATACAGTTTTATACACCTCCGACCCCCGTCGCTCACAGCTTCCAAACATTATTTCGCGTACCCCTGGCATCCCGCGTAATTCGCGATTAATCCTTTGGTTCCCGGTACCGTCGCCTTGAAACCACGCGTTTCGATATTAGGAACATGTGAACCGGTGGACTTGTCGCGAAGTGGTCAGTGTGAAATCGATACGATAACTGTTTATTTTATTGACAGTTAAAATAGCATTTTTAATAGAAATGTTTGTTTTCATTGGAAGTGGTATTAGTTAACGTATATTGTGAAAATAAACGATTTTCTTAACGATTCCATTCGAGAGGTAAAGGGTTAAAATGTTCGGCGCATAGTGTAAGTCTGGACAAAATGTATTAGGGGTAAGAGACGCTTATCAGCTTTTTGATACTTTCACTGTTACGTCTGAATTCTACGCGACGCTTTGTATAAACTTGAGCATTTATTTTCTTGGGAGCGTATCGAACGAATTTTGTTGGATGTATTAAATGTAGGAAACTCAGTAGATCAATTGTTATGGAAAATCTCAGCTTTTTGGTTTCTAGTTTATTACGAAAACTGTTTCGATTGGAGCTGTGATGAGAGTTTATTTGTCAGTCGACGCGTTAAAAGCGACGAGGAATCGTTCCGCTGGTTTCAATATGGCGTCCATTGTCTGTTCTCGATAACGTAGTACGCATCGAATTCTTATTGAACATTTTTATTCGCGGATGTATATTATGGATCTACTATAAATGTACATTTGGATTATTAGTGTAACGTGGAATCTTGGTTTCCCCTTTTCTCTATGGCAAACAAAAGTCTTTTTATTTACGTCGAATCGAATTAAAAATTCTATGCAGGCTACGCGTGCATGCGGGGCTGGCGCACCGATTAACTCGCTTCCTATTTTTCTATTGTCTTTTTTTTTTATCGGCCTCCTCGAAAAACTGTGCCAAGAGTCGAAGATTGAAAAGTCGGTTGAATATCTTCGACGTCTTCGATATTCCGCTCAAGGCTACTGTATACGTGGCCTGATTCCGCCGTTTCGAGATGTTCTTTGGAACCGACTCCCAGACTTTTGTCTACAAAGGAATCGATACAGGGCGATACCTTGAACCGGGCGATATGAGTTTCCATATCAGGGTCGCACGACTCGTTACATTATTTGCTTTTCCCTTTCTAACGGGTCGTTGATTGTGGAACCGCGAAATTCGGTTGTAATATTCTCGAAGAAACCGGTATAACAATCATTTTCGTAACAGTGTCCTCGAACTTCTCTCAGAGATCAATGAAATCGTTACACGTATACATCGAATAACCAACGGAAAATAAGAAACTACTATTCAATATGTATTTATTCATATTTGTTCATATCCGTTAATATCTAGAATGAAACGTAATTATCACGAAAAATATTTTCGAATTGAATTCGATCTAATTAAATGAAACGTGTATAATGCAAAACTACAACTTAACACGTTCGCTACCAGTCTCACATATTTGTGACGGCTGCAATCCTACATTTTATATAAAGAAAATGAAATTAATCCTATAGATATAGTTAGTTAATGTTATAAGCTACGAAATTACATTTAGGGATTCAATGAATCGTTTTAGCTTCATTTGCTTCAATAATTTGTTTAGAAGATATATTGAATTGAATAAAATATAATTCAGAGGATCGCCACTGAAACAAGCACTGCTGGCGAACGTGTTAAGTTGCTGTTAGCAAATATAATTAGTTGGTTCGCGATCAATTTATTTACTTCCAGAACGAAGTCCGCAAGAATGATTTGCTTCCGACAATAATCTAAATGGATCGTAACAAAAATGTTCGAAGATACCTCGTCGCGCGCCGTTCGAATAGAATTCCGTCCGCTGTCTAAAGAGGAAGCGAAAGATTATTGTCGGGAAGGGCCACGATTTTTAAGGGACGGATGCTCCGAGTTTCTCAGGGCACCTTGATCGAAATTGTTCCCACGGCTTTCGAATTTAATTTCCTTCCGTCGAAGCGCATTATCCTCAGGAGTAGCAATCCGTGAAGACGGATCCCGGGGTTAATGTGTTTAAATGCTCGGAGGCGGAGGCGAGGCACGGGCGCCAGCTTTAGAAATGTTTGTCAACGGGACTTTAACTCCGACGGAAGATCGATTAATAATTTCCCGGTAAGCCGGGAAGCTGCCGGGCTAGAAAACTTCTTCATTAACCGAACCGGCACGCTTCAAAGGCAACATCACGAAGACGTTCTACTCGCAAATTACTGTTCCGCGGATAGTTCGCTCCCATTCAGCCGACAAATCAACGATGACCATTTTTAACTCTTTTAGGGTTGAAATAACGATCTTTCGTTGTGCCCTGTATTATACTACACTTTCTTCAGGAGACAGTGTTTTAAAAAATGTCTGTTTAGATTTTGAGATGTCGATGTTGGGAAAAGATAAAGTCATATATTTAGACTTTTTTCTCTGCGATTGGTAGTAATTTTGTAAATAAATCGTTCAGCATTCGTGACTAAGTTTAATGATCATTTTATGTAATATGTGTGTGCGTACATAGATACGAATTATATGAATGTTATTATATTCTAATAAGTATTAATTACTAAAACATCAGAATACTTTGTTGCAATATAATTGATTTCAAAGACAACTATCCCTCTACACAACTGATATGTAAATCATCACTGAACACAGTCAACCAACAACAAAAAAATACTTTAGTCTTTTAATTTGTAATATTCTGAAATAATTTAATTTGAAATATTCATTCGTACTTTTAAATAACGTGAAATAAATAGTACATAATACTAATGATTAGTTTCCATTACACAATTTTCTGAGGTTCCTAATGGAGGCCGAAGCCATCGGGACAAAGCTTCGAAAAGTAGTTTCTCAACTTCCCTTCGAGTCCCGTCAGCTCCGTCGGCCGTCGAATGCTAATTCCGTCGTTAATAATAATCATTATCAGCAGGCTGGCTCCGCCGTACTCCCGAGGGTTCGAAATTTGCACGCGCATTAATCCCATTTCGTTTAAGGGCTCGTCAATCATATCCACCCTCCGCGGCCCGGTCTTTGTGCGAATATACGCGCGCGCACACGTACAAACACCGGAGATGCTGGATACCAATGAACTGGGACTCGAGCCTAATGGTGTTTTGAGTGGGCACGATGTACTCAAAATTGGTCCTCCAGCGGGCACGAGGCTTGAGGGTCCGTCTGACAGTTTCCACATTGGATCCTGAACCGAACGAATGAACGCCGATTGATCGCTTATTATTTAACCCTTAACGCTCGACAATTTTCTATTGACACTTTGCGGACGAGACTGTCTTAAACTTCTAACATTTCATTTCATAAAGAACTGAAGTATGCATCGGAGTCTTGAATGGTAAAAGAAAAAAGCTACATGTCGATATCTCGTTAGTTGAATA